GATGGAATGATACATGCCTATAATCCCAGCTACTTGGGAGGCCAAGGAAGGAGGTTCACAAGTTCAAGGCTAGCCTGGGCAATGTATTGGTCTCGCTACAAAATAAAATCTAAAAAAAGATGAGTTGCTAAGGATATAGTTTAGAGGTAGAATGCTACAGGATTTGATCTCCAGTACAAAAAAAAAATGATTCCAAGATATGAATTTTAGAGGAGGAYATGGGCATAGCTTAGTGGTAGAGTGCTTGCCTAGCAAGTTTAAGGTCCTGGGTTTGATTCTCAGCACATTAAAGAAAAAAAAGTGAGGCATTTAGGGGAAACATCACCAAAACTTCTATCTCTTTGTCCCATTTTACTTTGGGATTTAAAAACATGACATATATTGGGAGTTATGGAAATGTTTGTCATTTAATTGTGGTGATGGTTTCACAGTGTATACAGATGTCAAAGCTCATCAAATTGTACCCTTTAAACAGGCAGTTTCTTGCATGTCAATTATACCTCAATAAAGCTGTAAAAATAAAAACAAAACCAATTATCTATTTTTTTAATTACCAAAGATAAACATTTTCATTATGAAGAATTTAGAAAATCAAAATGAGGAAGAAAATAAATGTCACTCACTGCTCAGGAACAGCTGTGCAGCCCTTAAGTGAAGCTCCTCTGCTTGTTGAATCCTACAGAAGTGCTTGGGGTCTGTTTAGCCTCCAGCTTCTGTCGTTGAAATCCAGGGCCACACCTTTGCTCTGCTGGCAAACTAATAGTACAGATCCAGCCAGTGTCCTTTCACCAGAGGGCATAGGAGCTGTTAGCACAGGAGCTCTGCCCTCCTCACTGAGTCTACCCACCACGGACTCCTAGGTCCCTACCTCCTTCATGGTCAGACTATTCTCAGTCTCTGCCTCTTTTTCTCTTCTAGTCCAGCCCTGTCCCTCCCCACCCAGTCCCTTGTAGGCAGGAAATGAAGTCTTTGGCACCCATGACTCCAAACCCCAGCCAATTATTAATATACTTCAATTTCTTTTTTTAATCTTTGTTTTTATTTGTTTATTTTTATGTGGTGCTGGGGATCAAACCCAGGGTCTCATACGTGTGAGACAAGCACTCTACCACTGAGCTACAACCCCAGACCTAATATACTTCAATCTCTATCTGTGGTTTCTGTCTTGAATGCTTCTTGGTGCTGCAGACTCGCTCTGTATCCACTTAACTCCTCCCTGTGGATGGGTAATATGCACCTAAAGCCTCACATGGGAACCCTGCTTACTCCTCGCAGTCAGCATCCCACTGTCAGACCTATGGCTGGTCCTCTCTTATTCCCCATACCCAATTTCTCTGCAAGTCCTGTGAGTTCTACTTCCAGAATGGTTCTGGAGTCCAAACCATTCCCTCTATCACTTTGTTCCCACCCTCGTCTGGATGATCCACATCTCCCACCTGGACAATTTCCACAGATCTGGAGGCTTACCCTGCTCCTACCTCCAACCCCTCCAACTCTCTACCCATCAAATCCAAGCAATTCACACTTTGCTTACTGTGCTATCCAATACTTAAATCTAAATTCATTAAAGTTAAACTAAAAATTCATTTCTTCAGTAGCTGAAGCTGCATTTTAGGTACCCAGTAATCCTACAGGGAAGTGGCAGCTGTGTTATTCAGTGCAGTTTACGGAACATGCCCATTGTGGTGGAAAGTTCTATTGGATAGTACAGACTCAGTGCACTTTGAATGAAACCTAAACTTCTTACAGGCATAGAAGACACTGCCTTATCCTCTGATCTCAGTTTTTATTGTCCAAACCTGTCTCATCTCCCAACCCAGCTGTTCCTCAAACATAACTACAACTTTGAAGTCTCCTTTGTCTTTGCATATCTGTTGTTTCTTGGTAACTCCAACTTAGGCAAGCCTTCCCCAAACCTCTGCCTCCTACTGGATTCCGTACCAAGGACACACATCTCTGCCAGGGCCCAGCTCTGACTACCTTATCATTTATACACACCCACACAGTGCTTCTCTCTGGGCTGTGCTCTCCTCTGAGCCACACACATATTCATTTGACCAGTACTGAGGATCTACTATATGCTGAGCACTTGGAGACATAGAGGAATAAGATAAATAGTCTGTATTCCTCCAGAGTTTAGATCTAGCTGGGACAGACTCAAATGGGGAGTTACAGAGTTTTATGTCTAGACTCCATATATCTCCTCACTCTTTCTCCCTAGGAAGGGATGGTTGAGAAGAAAGCTCTACAAGGAAAGAAAGAAAATTCTTCAGAAAAGGACCAGAGAGACCCAGGTGGGAACACTTTCAGGGAGTCCCAAGGATGAAGGAGTGTCTTTAGGGCCCAAAGAGGCTGTCTCGAAGGGGAGAAAGCCACTATCTGGATGTGTCCTTGTACTTGACAAGCCACTTGCTATGCCAACAGAATGGAGCATGCCTTCAGAGTTTCTGAAGTGTGTTTGCTCATGTATAAAATATTAAAATCCAGGTGCACTGACACATGCCTGTGGTCCTAGATACTTGGGGAGCTGAGGTAGGAGGCTCACTTGAGACCAGAAGTTCAAGACCAGCCTGGGCAACATAGGAAGACCCCATCTCAAATAAATGAACCATTGAATGAATGAATGAATGAATGAATAAAATATTTAATGTGAACCTAAGTTGGAGATTGTGAACCAGATATAGAGCTATCTTATTGATAGATGAAGCCCCCTTCACCAAGTACCCCCTTTTCCCTCCAGGCATTTAATGATCATATGGGCCCTGTTGAGCATACATTTCCTTCTGGAAACTGAGATCCAGTCTTCAAGGGAAAAAAAATCACTTAATCCTGTGGGGATTCTTTTTGATGATGATCAGTGAATGGGGTTCTAGAGGCCTGGGTTCTCATTCTTCTCTGGCCCACTCCCTTGATAATTTTAGCAAATCATTTGGACAAAGCAGTTAATGTTCATCATGACCTTGTGAGTTCAGGATGATGGTGAGGAGGACAAGGATATGTGGTACTGGGAATTGAACCCAAGACCTTGCATATGATAGACAAGTGCTCTATATCCCCATCTGAATCAGGATTTACTATACTGATTTTAAAGGAGAGGCTACTGAGGATAGAACGCTGCTCAGTATTATTGCACAGCCGGGATTCCTGCACATCTCTGTTCCACTGGCCTCAAAGTCAGGGTGCCACCTGCATCTGTTTCCTCACCAGCAAAAAGCACTATTTACAGCATCCATGGCAGATGAGAAGTCTGCTGGGTGTGAGGGGACAAACAGTTCAGGAGACTGAAGAAGCCTGCAGGGGGCAGCAGTGAGCCATGAAGCATCCTTCCAGCTCTCTGGCCTGGCCCTAAGGGTTCTCTAGCTTCATCAACATCAAGAGATAATCATAGATGAAACTGCACCTGCCATGTATCTGCCAGTTTTGCATGTCCCATCCAGGCACTTTACACATGGTACTCACAATATTTTGCACATGAAGACAAAAGTGAGCCCAGAGAAGTGAAGGGAATTACTGAGATCACACAGCCTAGAGTCACAGAAACCTGAACTGGAGCCAGGCCACCCTGGCTTCTAGCTCTGGGTTCTATTGCTCTACACCGGATGTCAGGGCATCTGCTTTCAGTGGTACTGGAACTGGGGGAAAAGACATGATAGTTCCTCAAATCCATGCAGGGACAACTTTTGAAGGCAAATATTCTTGTTCTCATTTCAATGCCAAGGAAACTGAGGCATACAGAGAGAGGTGGTCAGGACTCAAATCTAGTTCTTTGATTGCCAAATCCTCTTTCCTTTTCTCCTCACCAAATGGACTGGTTTGGCTATTTTCCATCGTACTCATCAGACTGCTTACAGAGAGTGCACTCTGCTGTGTGTCTCAGATCTCTGGGTTTCCCTGGGGAACCATCAAAGATTTGGTTTCACAACCTGCTCTGGCCTGTCCTATCTTCCACTCAGTCCTGCTGGTCAAGGTGGAGGCTGGTGACCCCTTTAGAGAGAGTCTAATAAGGTAAGTTCTGAATTAGGCAGACCCTAGGAAAACTACTTTGGCTTCTGGAGCTCAGAAGCCGGGGACAAATGCGCAGTCCAGGACACAGGAATGGAAATGTGATGTTGAGTGACTTGGGGGAGAAATTCCTATTTATCATCCAGTATAAGGGTGTCTCTATGACAATCCCCTGAGGTCATTGTTGCTTTATCAATCCTTTCCAGAACACTAGTGACTTGGGGACACTGGCACTGCCGACACTGGTGACCCAGCCTGACGCTGGCTCTCACCAAGGGAACTTTCCTGCCTAGCCCTTCTCTGGATTGGGCCCCGCTGGGTGTTCCTAACACAGGTGAGTGGCTGGGCTGTAGGAAAATGAAGAACCACGTGTTCCTGGTCCAGGTGTGCAGAACTGTCCAGGGTCTCCAGATTGGAAGGGTCTTTTTGAACCAATGGGCCCATTGTCCTTCTTATGGGGCACCCCTGGCCTCAGAGTGGGACAGACGGGTTCAACGACGCCATGACCTCAGTTTCCCCAAGTGCGCAGGGATTGAGGGAGAGAAGAGGCTCAGTGGGAAGGTGGCCTTGAGGGACCCCCGCCTGGAGCCCGCGGCGCGGTCCCTTTAAGAGGCGAGCCCTGCTCCATCAGCCGCGCCCGGCCACCGCCCCCCGGCCCTCCCCTTCCTGCGGCGCTGAGTGCGGGCCGGGCGGGAGTGCGGAGAGCCGGCCGGGTGGAGCGCTGCGCCCACAGAGGAGGTGGCGGTCGTGGTGCGGGACGGCTTAGGAGCCAGAAGAGAGGAGCGCGCGAGCAGTGTACACGGGCTAGGGGCTACTGAGCAGAGCCGAGCTGAGGGCCGCGCCCATCCCGCGTCGGCCGGCGCAGCCCCGCGCCGAGGAGTCCCGCACACAATAGCGGCGCGCGCAACCCCGCGCCCTTCCCCCGCCCGCGCGCGCCCCGCCCCCACGCGCGCGTCCCGCCCCGTGCTACCCGCCGCCCGGGGCAGTAGTGCCTCCCGCCTCACCTGCCGCCCGGGAGGGGGCGGGCATTGTTCACCGCTACCGCCGAGCCGGGCCATGGGGGCCGCTCGGCACCCCGGGCCGGGCCTGGCGAGACCGCTGCGTCGCCGCTGAGAGGGTCCCGCACGCAGCCTGGCGGTGCAGGTGAGGCCGGCCGCGCCATGGTGGATCCAGTGGGCTTCGCCGAGGCGTGGAAGGCGCAATTCCCGGACTCTGAGCCGCCGCGTATGGAGCTGCGCTCGGTAGGTGACATCGAGCAAGAGTTGGAGCGCTGTAAGGCCTCTATCCGGCGCCTGGAGCAGGAGGTGAACCAGGAGCGCTTCCGCATGATATACCTGCAGACACTGCTGGCCAAGGAGAAGAAGAGCTATGACCGGCAGCGCTGGGGCTTTCGGCGCGCCGCGCAGCCCCCTGACGGCGCAGCTGAAGCCCGAGCGCCCGCGTTGCGCCCGGCGCCGGCGCCCGCCGACAGCGCGGATCCGCCTCTAGCCGAGGAGTCCGAGGCCCGGCCCGACGGAGAAGGATCCCCAGGTAAGGCTCGGCCTGCGACTGCCCGCAAGCCTGGAACCGCCACTTCCGCCGACCGGGATGAGCGGGGACCCCCCACCAGTGTGGCGGCGCTTAGGTCCAACTTCGAAAGGATTCGCAAGGGTCCTGGGGCTGCGGACACTGAGAAGCCCTTCTACGTGAATGTCGAATTTCACCACGAGCGCGGCTTGGTGAAGGTCAACGACAAAGAGGTGTCTGACAGGATCAGTTCTCTGGGCAGCCAGGCCATGCAAATGGAGCGCAAGAAGTCCCAGCAAGGTGCGGGGCCGGGTCTGGGGGATGCACCCAGGCCCCATTACCGCGGGCGCTCCTCAGAGAGCAGCTGTGGCCTCGACGGCGACTACGAAGATGCAGAGTTGAACCCTCGGTTCCTGAAGGACAACCTAATCAACGCCAATGGCGGCGGCAGACCCCCTTGGCCGCCCTTGGAGTATCAACCCTACCAGAGTATCTACGTCGGGGGCATGATGGTGGAAGGGGAGGGTAAGGGTCCGCTTCTACGCAGCCAGAGCACCTCAGAGCAGGAGAAGCGCCTCACCTGGCCCCGCAGGTCCTACTCCCCCCGGAGTTTCGAGGACAGTGGAGGTGGCTACACTCCGGACTGCAGCTCCAATGAGAACCTGACCTCCAGTGAAGAGGACTTCTCCTCTGGCCAGTCAAGCCGGGTGTCTCCAAGCCCCACCACTTACCGCATGTTCCGAGACAAGAGCCGCTCACCCTCGCAGAACTCGCAGCAGTCTTTTGACAGCAGCAGCCCCCCGACACCTCAGTGCCAGAAACGGCACCGGCAGTGCCAGGTGGTGGTGTCTGAGGCAACCATTGTGGGTGTCCGCAAGACTGGGCAGATTTGGCCCAGCGATGGGGACAACACCTTCCATGGAGATACAGGTGGGTACCTGTCACCACCATCGGTGGGCAGTCTGCACTTGTAGCAGGAATCTATTAAGTGGTAGGGAAAGCTGTGGAGGAGGACTGGGTGTTTTTTTATTTTGAGTGTTTTTTTTAAGTGCTGTTTAAGCACTGCAGATTTCAGCTGATCCTGCATCCATACTAACTTCCCTTCTCCTGAATGCAAATTCTCAAGTGTTTGGAATGGAATTGGGTTGGGAGGGGTGGTATGGGAGATGGCAAGCAATTTATTCCTTTGGTTCTAGAGAACCATTCTTGTGAAAGTACAGCATGCAAATTGGGAGGGAGATGCACTGTCGTGTTACCCTATGATCTCTTCACACTGAATGAACAGTGAGGATGGCATAAAGCCAGAGTCACTACTGACACCTAGATCAGATCCTTTCATTGGGGACTGATCTGTGTCTTGGACATTCCCCTTGCACCATTCCTGTCCTGGAAGATTATATTACACATTTGGAGAACCCAAGATGTGCTAGTTTTCAGGCCTTCAAAGTGTCAGGTTCACTTGCTAGCGAGTTAGAGCAGGTGAAGATCCATCTCAGAAGGAAGTGAGGTGATAGGCAGTTCTGACTCAGTGGGCACTGAAAATGAAGATGAAGATTTTATCTGGGACTAAAGCAGAGCCACACCCGTTCTGATCAGCCTAGCTTTTGATGGGAGGCTTCACCCATTATTACTCACCCACAGGCATCTCTCTACATCTCAACCCACCTGGGTTTCTGATTCCCTGGCCACCTCATTAACCAAGGATGAGCACCCACAGGTGCTTATTTTGGCCTCCCAGGCCATGGTCTGACCCCAGCCCTAAGATTAAACCTGTGGGAATTTATAATAATATCTGCGCCTTATGTAGATATCATTAGACATTTGGGGTAAGGAGAATAGGTTTTGAGATCTAGGCACTGTTCGAAGTTGGGGTAAAGATATAGAGTGTGTGGGCTGGGGGGGTGGGGTTTGGTTGGGAATAGGGGTATGTCAGGTTGTTTGGACTCTTTTAGAGTCTTGGTCGCTGTTGGAATGATCTGGTTTTCTGCTTCATTGATTTTTTTTTTTTCTGCTGATAGAGTTACATGTGCTTCATTTGTCAGAGTCCTCTTGAAACAAGTGAGGCTATTTTTGGCTCATCAAGCTGCCTTTTTGTGCTCAGCACTCTGTCCTGTTTGTTTTAGGTACTTCCATTTGCTGATCTTGTTTGTAGCTGGGATTGGCTGTGGTACGTGTCTGGGACCTGCCCGAGGCCTGGTTCAGCTGCATTCCCTAAGTCCTTAGTGGAAGAGCAAGAAGCTGTAGGATTCGGAAGCCTGCCTTGCAGGCCCATCAGCTTCTTCCGGGTCTGGAGGATTGCCCTGTGGTTACCTTGTCTGGCCAGCTATTGGCCAGAAGAACCAGCTTACACTGGCCCCAGAGTGTTTTATGCAGGAAAATGTTATTGATAAAGAAAATAAAAGGTTTTTGTGGAGACCTGCAATCTGAAATGATACCCTCTTGCTGGTGGGGAATTCTAACTTTTTAGAAAATTAGGCCTTTCCTACAGCTTCCATAGACATGGTCAGGTTGCCCACCACATAATTGACCCCAGGGCAAGTCAAAGCAGGTAAAGATAGGAACTAGAAGGAAATGAGGCCCAGCATCAGAGAAACTGGGGTTCAAGAAGTAGTTTTAGAACTTTCTGGATCCTTCGCTGAATTCTGAATGTCTTTAAGGTTCCACATTCTCTCTCTCTCTCTCTCGTGTGTGTGTACCCTACTGGAGATTGAACCCAGGGGCACTCTACCATTGAGCTGCATTCCCAGACCTTTTTTGATTTTTATTTTGATACAATGCCTTGCTGTGTTGTCTAGACTAGCTTCAAACTTGAGATCCTCCTATTTTGGCTTCCCAAGTCACTGGGATTACAGGTGTGTGCCACCATGCCAGCTAGACTTAATATTTTCAAGAGCACATTTAGGTTCACAACAAATTTGGACATAGGTACTTATTGCCCCCACACCTGCTTCCTCCATTATCAGCATTCTCCATTAGAGGGGTACATTTTTGACAGTCCACAAATGGATGTTTTGACAAGTAATTATCACCTATAGTCCATAGTTTACGTTAGGATTCCCTTTTGGTGTTGTACATCTTAGGGTTTGGATCCTTTAAGGCTTTAAAATTCCTGGTTGTTTTAGTTCCAAGAGACTATAAACTCTGCCCTACAATCTCCTTTGACATGTGGCCATGTGTGGCTGGTGGGGAAAGAGATCCTGCACTGGCTCAGCCATCTGTCTCCATCTGGACTGTTTACTGATGTTCTTTAGATGACTGTGGGTCCTGCTGGCCTGAAAAGGAACAGTGAGGAAAAAAATACAGTGTGGGAAGGGGGTGGAAGTCGTCCTAATGCTCAGCAGTGGTAGACATGGTGGCCCAGCTCTATAACTTCAGAATCCCCTCATATGAGTGGGCGTTCTTTTTTCTGAATTGAGGGCTGCTGCTGATTAAGGGAAGGAGCTGAAACTATCACATGCTGCTTTGTGCTAGGCACAGTGACATAATGCTTCATGTAGGGTCCCTCATGAACTCTTCATCACATGGTGGGGCTGTCCATTTAAAGGTAAGGATGCAATCAGAAAGTGGCAAAGCTGGGATTGTGGGGCTCTGCGTGAATGCAGAGCCCCATTTCTTCATGGTTGTCCTGTGATGGTCTGCTGCTGTCCCACATTTCTATCTGAAAAGCACAACTGGGTTGGTCCAGGGGTCCCTCCAGCTCTGAGCACCCAGGGCCTGCCTGTGTGGGTTATAACTGATGGCTAGGAGTATGCCTTGTCTAAGGCTTTCCACGGTGCTATGAGGGACACAGAGGAAAGTGAGTGGTCCTTGGCATCTGGGAGCTTAGAGGGACATGCATACATGTGTTTGGAAGAGAGGGAGATTGGGGAAGCTTCCAGTTTCCCTGGCTCATTAGCAGAAGTCTAACAGCCAGCCAAAGGGTTGGGGAGGAGAGCTATTTGCCAGAGGGGAAGTGATAGCAAAGGAGCAAAGGCTGGGGAGCACCCATGTCCCATACATACACACACACACACACACACACACACACACACGCACACGCACGCATGCACGCGTATATTTGGTATTAGGGATTGAACCCAGGGACACTTAACCTCTAAGCCACATCCCCAGCCCTTTTAAAAAATTTTATTTAGAGACAAGGTCTTGCTAAGTTTCTGAGACTGGCTTGGAACTCGTGATCTTCCTGCCTTAGCCTCCTCAGCCACTGCGATTATGGTGCCACTACACCTGGCAGTATGTGTGTGTGTGTGTGTGTGTGTTTTAATGATAAAATATTCATAATAAAACTTACTGTTTTAGCCGGGTTTGTTTTGTAAAATACAAAGATTTATCTCTTTAACCCATTTTAAGCATTTTTAAACATACAGTTCTGTAGCATTGAGTACATTCACTTTGTTGTGCAATCATCACCCCCATCCATCAACAGAACTTTTTCATCCTTCCCAAACTGAAACTCAACACCCATTAAACTGCAGCTCCCCATTTCCCTGCCCCCAGCATCTGGCATCCACCATTCTGTTTTCTGTGTCTATGAATTTGATGGCTTTGGACACCTCATATTAGTGGAATCATACTGTATTTGTCTTTTGTGACTGGCTTATTTCACTGAATGTAATGCCTTCAGGGTTTATCCATGTTGTAGTGTTTTGTTTTGTTTTGTGGTACTAGGAATTGAACGCATGTCCTCATGCATGCTAGGTAGGAGATCTACTACTGAGCTAAATCCCCAGCCTTTTTAAAATTTTGAACAGGGTCTTGCTAAGTTTCCCTGACTGGCCTTGAGCTTGAGATCCTCCTGCTCAGCCTCCCACACCTGGTGACTATAAGCGTTTTGAAGGCAGGAATCACTAGTGTGTTTTCAAGTTCTCCTATCTCGGAACTTTCCACGTAACACATACTGGAGAGTCTTTCCTCATTTTTACAACTTGTTTTGGAGGTCAGAATTGACTGTACCTGTATTTTCCTGTTTCATCAGTATATTTAAACTTTCTTTCCAGAGGACTTGTGGCAAGCCATTTCCTGAGGCAGAGACCAGATAACCCAAGGTGCTTCCCTTTTTGTTTCCATGAGAATATCTTTTCTTTTGACAACTGGGAATCGAACCTAGGACCTCACATACACTAGGCAAGCCCAGTACCATTGAATTGCAAGCCCAGTACCATTGAATTACATCTCTATCCATTTTTTTACTGATTTATTTTTGAGACAGAGTCTTGCTAAATTACCCAGGCTGGCCTAAAATTTGTGATACTTCTGCCTCAGCCTCCAGGGTACTGGGATTACAGACTTGCACCACCACACCCTGCTTTTAATTTTTTTTGTGTGTGTCTGGTGCTGAAGATTGAATCCAGGGCCTCACACATGCTAAGCAAGCACTCCACCACTGAGCTACATGCCTACCCTGGTCCTTTCCTCTTTTAGGTCTAAGAAATTTGTGAACCTATGTCCCTTTCAGCCCTTTTCTATGTGTGACCCTCAGATTTTTTTTTGGGGGGGGGGTGTTGCTGGGGCTGGAACCCAGGGATTTGCATGTGCTAAACAGGGATTTGCATGTGCTGTTCCACTGAGCTATATCCCTGGCCCAACCTTACATCTTGTGTTTCTCCATGGCCACTCATGAGTTGCTATCCTGTGTTTTCACCTTTTCTTTAAAAAAAAATATTTATTTTTTAGAAGTAGTTGGACACGATATCTTTATTTTGTTTATTTATTTTTATGTGGTGCTGAGGATCGAACCCAGGGCCTCGCACGTGCTAGACGAGCGCTCTACCCCTGAGCCACAATTCYAGCTCTGTGTTTTCACCTTTTTATTGAGCAACTTCATTTGCCCTTTGGATTCCAGCAATATATTGGCACCAGAATGGTCATTGCCTTGTTTTTCCCTTGATGATTGACTGGATAGGCAACTGGTTTTGAGTAACCGTGTGGCT